CCCCAAAACCCCAAAACCCCAAAACCCCAAAACCCCTCTTTAAATATTATTAATAGAGCAATTATAAATGGAAAATAAAGCAAAGGCTTCAACTATCAGTATTTTTAGTGTAACAGGTGAATCTTTAAAACCTTCTAAAGCAAAGAACCCAATTCAGATCCCTTCAGGGGTGATCATGAAGAAGAAAGTTACTCCTAGAACAAGTCCTCAGAGGGGTGCTCCAAAACACCTCAAGAAGCCACATATAAAAATGACTAAAAGGAGTAAGTCGCCTGTTCAGGATTTTAAGAATTAAGAGTAATACCCAGAAAACGAACAAGGTGCATCATAGCGACAAGAATTTAGCTAAAGATTTGATTAAGGAAAAGGCAATTAAGATGACTAGGTCCCAATCCAAGCATATTCTGCCAATAACTTTGCCAAGAGTCTCTCCAGCTGAGTCACCTAGACCTTCTCCAAATGCAAGGAAACATCTTTCTACAGGAAATATTGTCCATAACCTTCATATTGAGAGCATGAATAAGGTCAGGAAGAAATTTTTCAAGAAAAGAGGATATGCCAAGAGTGGATCAATGATGAAACAAAGGAATAAGAAACTGAAATAATTCTGAGAGTAGAGAAATATTCACAGCTGTGCAGAAGGTATCCAATCTTCATGACGGATTCAACAGTAAAGTCAGGTTAAATAGTCTAGCCATGACTCCTATTCACCGAAAAGAGTGTGAGGACAATAAGGATACATTCTACAAGACTACAAGAGCTGCAAGGTTTGGTTTTGGCAAACGATTTGGTATCACATAAATTTAACAGTAACTTCTAGCTCACCCACAATATGATGAATTCAAACAGACCTTAATAATGACGGAGAAGAGGATAGGCCATTCAAGGGAATCTTCTAAGCTGTATGACCATAAGTTCTTAGCCTCTATAAAGTCAGCCTCACAGCTAGATGACCTGTTAGATCCGAGCAAGAAGGTGTTTGAAAGAGATAAGAAAAATGAAGAAGATTTTACAGACTTGTTCAAAGATAAAGATTTTGATCTGAATGATAAAGACCTAGAGGAAACTCTCTTAAATGATCCTGAATCCCAAACTATAGAGAGTATCAGAAAGTATATGACCATAATGCTTGGAAGGCATCTTAAGTTTAACAATATTGAAGAACAGGAGATCCTTAAACGCAAAGTTGAGGATCTAGATCTCAACAGCATCAATGAACATTTTGTGTCTAAGAAAGTGATTCTTAGCAAAGCATTTGACACATATATCAAGTTCAAGTCTAATTTCAACCACTACGAGGCTGATTTTATCAAAAATGCTTATACAGAGCTGAAAGGAATCCTGGAATTCTTTATCGACATCACATTAAAACTTCGGAAAACAAACGAAGGAGAATATAACAAAAACCAAGACCTAATCAGACAGAACAATAACTTCCTTGACGCAGTGAACGCTGTCAAACAAATGAACAGGACTCAGAATCTTGACTACTACTTATTCGGTATAAAAAGACTGACTGAGCAGAAGTATTTCAGTATAATGCACACAGCTAAACAGTCTCTCAAAGTAGCGAATCATGAATTAGCATATCGGCAGATAAAGTTCCTTGATGAGTTCTTTGAGTACCTGATTACTCAGCAAAAACAATCAGAGTCAGATTCAAAATAAGATACAAGAAATGGAGGATGAGATTGCTTCTTTGAAGAGAACGCTTAAAGAAACAGAGAAGACCAAACTTGAGGAGATTCAAGGCATGCTCAAGTTCTCAGATGAACAAAAACGTAAAATAGGTAATGCCATTTCTAAGATATTCTAGATGGCCTCAATGCACACAAAACCAACCACTTGGAAGAACTTTTTGAGAACAGAAAGAAGGAGTTTGAACAGCAGAAAAAGAACTCTATTAAAGAAAGGAATCGAATGATTAAGAAATTAGTTAAGATTAAAAATGTCGTGGCCGCTCTTAAGGAAGAGAATGAAAATTTAAAGAAACAGTTTATTCAGCATAGAGACGAAATAGAAGATTTTATCAAGGAAAAACAAATCAGTATTGCTGATAGAATTAGAAAGGATAAAAAGATGAGTATGTCCAGACCTAGGGAGCCTCATTTTAACCTGAAGACTATCTTTTCAAAATATATTGAGAACCTGAAGAGTGATCCCTTTGAATCAGTACAGCTCAAAGTGAGTAATTTGTAGTAATCATTTAGGGAGAAGTACAGAGTGAAAGATGGGCATTATCAATCATTAACCTTATTTATCTTGACAAGACCAAGAAGGACACAGAGGACTTTATGGTACTGTGTAGGTAATTTTTATAGGACGGCCGACCTCTGATTACACTCCAACAATACATAATCCAATGGTTTTGAGTCGTATTTGGAAATAGAGAGATCGTGAATGAACTCATTCACGATTTTATCAGAACATGTATTGAATTTGAGCCAGAATATCAGAGATTTGGAACATTCCTAAACCTAGCAGGGGTGCATATCCATGGAGGAGAAATTGACCAGATTCCAGCTTCAAAGAAAGAAAAATTAAGAAGGATTCAGTTCCAGTCTTCAGACACTTTATTAATGTTTCTAAGGTTCCTCATGTGCATTAGGCTTAATTGATCTCCATATTTACCTGACCTTGAAAAGGAAAATAGAGAAGAAAAAGGGGCTGTAGTCAGTTATGCAGAAGCTAAACATGTATGGCTTGCCTTAGTCAACGAAACTTCTTCAGAACATGGAGTAACCGATAGCGATTTTAAAGAACTTGACACCATCTGTGCTGACTTTCTAGAAGATTCTAGCGGCAAGAAAAATATGTTCAAGATTCCTGGAATCGTTCTCTCCAAAACAGCACTGAAGGAGTCCCGCAAGGAATCAGAAAGTGATGTGAGAAAATCAAAGAAAAGTTATAGTGTTAAATCTTTTGAAGATAAAAATATCAACTTAGACACCTTCATGAGAATATGCATCAACCAATATGTTGAGAATAGGATTCTTCAGATGGAGAGACTCCTGAGTTGTCTACAGGTACGATATCTAGTAATTTAATTCGTCTAGCTTGATCAAACAAAGAACTCGACAGAAGTAAATTTCAAAAATTTGAAGAATGCCATAAAGAGTACATGGAATGAAAAAGCTAAAAAGACGAGCGATCATCTGCTGTTCAGCTCTAATAAGATTGAGATGGCCTACACACATATCTTAAAAGAAATGCGCTCAGCCACTTTTGATGAAGAAGATGTCATTATCAAGCTAGCCCCATTTTTAAATTGCTCATTTGAAACAAGAGCATTCTCACAGAGATATAAGAGCAAAGCTCAAGTCAAGGAATTACTAGAGAAGGAAATTATAGATGTGAGTCCACCAGAAAAGGAAGAAAGCAAGAATTTAGCACCAGCGGTGTCAAAGTTAAGTGGGCTTTCAGGGCTTGTTGGCAAGAATAATCCTAAAGAGGTGTCAACTAAAGCAGGGGTAAACATACCTAAATCAATTATCCCCACTCTGAAGGAGTTCAAAGATAGTACCTCAAGTGAGATCCTGTATGAAGAAATCACCAAGACTTATAAGAACAAGGTTGGACCAGCCCCATTGATCTTCTTTATGATGGAGTCTACAGAAGCTTTAAAATAATGCCTTATGAATTTGATAGATCTCTTTTTCTTTGAAACATTAATAACTTTTAAATTTCACAAAGCTTAGAATTAGAAGGAACTTATTCATGATGGTAGGGAAAAGCTAACTCGATCAGTGCACTTACTTTTACCTACAGATTTATAGTTTTTAGTGAAATATTTAAATAGAATCAATTTAATCTATATACGTAGGGGTTTTGGGGTTTTGGGGTTTTGGGG